CCAGGGGGGATGGCCATGCCACAATCCCTTCTCCTCCATTCTCCTCTCGGGATCTTGGGCACACACGCACACGTGCCCGGCGTGAGTTTAAGCCACCGGGTCCAGGACTCGAACTGCGGTTGATTACGTGGGAGTCCAGCGACATAGCCATTACACTAACTGCTGGTCCCCCATCACTATTTTTGACACACATACCTGTTGTGTTTTTCAAGCTGTTAGGGCCAGAATTTGAACCACAGTCAGCCGTGTGGGATTCAGCTCCCTATGCACAATGCTTAGCCACTGCACTATGGGGTTGGCCTTGTTATTTTTTTTTTCCATTTTTCTGAGAGGTTTTTGCTATAGGGCACATGTGCTCGCCAGCCAGACAGAGAGAGACAGAGACAGAAAACGAGAAATCACCCCCCAGGGGGGATGGCCATGCCACAATCCCTTCTCCTCCATTCTCCTCTCGGGATCTTGGGCACGCACGCACACACGCCTGGTGTGAGTTTTAAGCCACCGGGTCAGGGACGCGAACCGTGGTCAACTACATGGGAGTCCAGCAACATAGGCATTACGCTAACTGCTGGTCCCGGCCTTGTTACTTTTAAGATAGGTCTCACCATGTCTCATTCTTTCTGATTAAGACTCCCAGGTGTGACTACAGACACGTACTACTGTTCCTGGTCTTTAAGTTAGTCTGGGACTTGAACCTTGGCCTCCCTTTGTGGTTTCAGCCTGCAGAGTACATTGTCTTAGCAACACGTCACACAGCTGGGCCTTTCTATTTATTCAGGTTTTCTTCAATTAATTAATATTTTTTAAAATAAGAGACTATAATCATTAACATTGATTACCGATTACCTCAGTGTTTCTCTCTTCCATTTATAATCATGTAACTTCTCCCTTTTTAAAGTTTGTTTCTTTAATTTCTTTGTTGATCTTTTGCCTAGTTCATCTACCCACTACTAAAAGTGGAGTATTGAAGTGTCCAGCTTTTTAGATTTATACTATATCTTATTTGTCCTTTTAGTTGGAGGTAAATCCAAGGTAATAGCTATTATTTAGGGTGTAATTGATAATTTAAGGTGTCTTTATTTTCAGGATTATGCTTTAAAGACCAGTCCTTTAGATATAAGTGCTTTAGGTTGAAAGATAAGTAAGCAGTAGCTTTGTTCTAAGGGTAGCCCTAGGCCAAGATTGTTGTCTACAATCTGGAGTATTCATATCTTCTCCTTAACTCCTCTTAACTTTTTTTTTTTGCTAGAGGGCATGTATACTCACTGGGCAGATATGGAAAATAAGAAAGTGTCCTCCAGGGAGGATGGCCATGCCACAATCCCTTCTCCACTCAGGAGTTTGGGCACACATGCACACAGACCTTCTGTGTTTTTCAAGCTTCTTGGTCTCGGACAGGAACTGCACAATCAGCCATGTGCAATCCAGGTGCTTTCACTACCGTGCCAGCAGCTGGCCTCAACTTCTCTCAACTCTTAACTCCTCTCCATCATGGAAACATGAACACGAATAGCTCCCCAATATTATTCCAGTGAAAAAGAATTTTTAAATGATGTATTTATTCTATTCCATTTGTTACTACTATTTTTTAATTTGATCAGAGAGAGAGAGGGAAGGGGCGAAAGTGAGCCACCAAGTCCGGGACTCGAACACTGGTCGGCCTGTGGGACTCCAGCACCTTTAACCATCCATACCACCTGCCGGCCCCGACATTTTTTTTTAATGAGAGATTTTTACTATAGGGCATGTGTGCTCATCAGAGAGACAAAGACAGAGAAACAGAAAGCAAGAAATCACCCCCCAGGTAGATGGCCACGCCACAATCCTTTCTCTTCCATTCTCCTTTCTGAATTTTGAGCACTCATGCACACGCACCCAGCATGAGTTTTAAGCCACTGGGCTTGGAACTTGAACTGGAGTTCAAGTCCAGTGACATGACCATTATGCTGTCTGCTGGTCCCTTGGTGGAAACATTTAATCTGGTGAAATAAATATGTTACTCATGAACAGTTAAATAATTGACAGACTGTTTAAGTTATAATGGGCAAATGACTTAGCAACAACTGTTTCATGCTGATGATATTGAAATGTTTGAGTATATTAATTATTTAAAAGAGGCACTTTTATTTTTTCAAAAATAGCAATGGAAGATACAGCAGCAAAGACAAGCATCAAACGATCTCCTCAACAACCTGTACCTTATGTTGTTCCTCTCTCTCCTAAGTTCTCCAAAACAAAGATGCATGCCTCTAAAGGTAAATAGCATTTATATGTACCAGGATTAGGAGGAAAAGTACCTCTACCACCACTTAATTTATGCTCTTGGGGTAATGACACTGGAGGTAGGGAGGCATATCTTCTCAGATAAATTCGACATACTACTGCTTTGGAATATTTGTTGAACACTTCATTCCCTTCAGAGGTGCATGGCTGTCATTTCTCCTTAGATAAAAATAAAAATTGTAGTAACATTTTTGTATTCACCTTTGTATTATTCAAAACTGTTAAGAGTATGAAGAGGAATAGAAAAAGCCTGGTACTTTCCTTCAGTGAAGGTGTTAACTGCTTAAGTAGTAAGTAAATGTTCGAAACCAAATATGTGATCAGATTATAACAGTTGTAAAGAATTGCATTCTTGGAAATGAATGCTTTAGTGAGGTTGGTGTTCACAGCCTTGGTGGCAGGAGTGGCAAAAGATTGTAAATTACTATGAGAAATATAGATGTCATAAAATCAATTTAGATTTCAGGACAGTTCCCATTACTATAAATGCCAAAGAGGTGGCATCTGTATTAAAGGTTTGTTTGTGGTTCACTGTAGCATGAATTATGTGAATGGTTGTTGGGGGATGAGGAGATTTTTGGCCTTTTAATAAAATTTCACTTGTGATATAAGTCTGTTGGAAGTTAATCTCTCTTCTTTTTCCCTGTAGAAGAATTGTCTCCCGAGGGAAATGGCATGCCCAAAGAGGAAAACATTCCTGAAGATTCCAAGAAATATTTACTAAATTTAGGAAATCCTCCAAGTCCTGTCTTTAGAAATCCTGTGTATACTCATACTTCAGTCTTCAAGAGTTTTCCTCAAAATGTGCCAGGCACCTCAAGTTCAGCACTAGGTGGGAACAAATCATCTACCAAGACCGGTTACCATGATGTTAAATTCCAAGTGCAGAGAAAAAGTGAAGGTATATTCAAAAACAGTGATCTTAAACAATATGTTTTTCGTTCCCCTTGAGGTTTCCATCTGGGTCCAACAGCACCCCCTGGGAGTGTATCACATTGGAGCAAGTGCCAAGATTGAGGAGTCTGAGTCTTCCCCTTCATATCACTGTTAGGGCCAAATCATTATGGATGTTCCAGTCCTCATGGCTTCACAGAGCCTGCTCAGGGGATCTGGTTCCCCATGCCTCAGATTAGTGGTTCTCATACAGTTCTAATTTATCTTTTCCTTGGGAACTGTCTGAATGCAATAAATCTCCCATGACTCTGAGACCTGGAAAGACACACTCCCTCTCCTTTCTGGCATATTCTATTCTATTCTTTATTTCTCTTGAGACCTTTCCTGAGTTCAGCCTGTGTATGGCTCCTGGATTTGGACTCTGGTATCCTATTGTTGTAGCCACATCACTTCCCCATTCTCCATATCGTCTGTCATTCCCTCAGATGCTACAGGAAAACCTGGGATATGCAGACAGGGCAAAATCCTGTTGCCATTTGGAAAAAGTCAGAATAGTCTTCTGTAAAGGTGGCTGCTACCCTGTACTCTGTTAAGGATTAAGGGGGTAGGAATAAGTGTTCATTTTCTCCAGGTAGGCATCTAGGCTAGGTTGAAGAGTGAAGAAGGCATTGGGGACCAGGTAACTCCCTTACCTATGGGCCAGCAGACTACACATGGTGACACTGTTAATGTATTTACCCCCCTACTCTCCCCTTGCAGATCATCTTTCCTTTTAGAGCTACATTGTTTGAAAATAGTCTAAAGAGAGTTGTTTATTTCATAAAGGGTAAATATCCTGAGTTTTAAAGTATTTTCACAAAGATGAACTTTTTAAAGACAGGCTCTACAAGGTTGCTTTTAATGCTGAATATCGTATTTCTAAATGTGTGCCTAACAATACCATGCCAAAGTAGCTTTTATTTCCTCTTTCTAGGAGTGGAAAGACTAATAGTAGTAACTTTACCTAGTAGTAATTAACAATTTAACAGATGTCATCATCATCTTTATCACTATCTGACATTATATGTGAGGTGTATATTTTTATGGCCGCATATATTACATCATTGCAACAATTCCTTGAGATGTAGGTGCTGGTAAACGTTTCAGGTGAGAAATCTGACAAGTCATTTGGCTAAGGTCCCTTGACTAAAAAGTGACTAAGCCATTACTTGAACTCAGACACTGGGTCTAGGGTTATACTCTTAACTGCTGAGCTGTGTGCATCATCAGAGAACATGTGAGCATTGCACTTGGAAGCTGTTTAGAGATGTGTCATTACTATTATTTTCTTTAACGTATTAGAATTGTTACTTAAAGATGTGTTAACTCCTGACAGCCAGTCACACTCTGCCCTGCCCCATTATTTGAATGAACAAAATCACTAATCTTCATGATAGGAAAAAATCTAATAACAGTTTTGGGATTTGGAATCAAAGCATTTTTATTATATTTGCTTTAGAAATGCCTGTTGATATCCCAGTGTATATTAGACATAGAAAGAAAAGTGTGATTGAACTTTATTTTTCACACAGTTTATTTCTTATAATTATTTGAATAAGAATATAATGTTTACTTCCTTCTCTGTTTTGAAGATATAGGTTCAACTAAATTATTTATCATAATAGACTAAAAATAGAATGTCTTAAAGTTATTTTTAATACAAAAATACAGTTTTTTTATCAGACATCATATTTTCACATGTAGTTTATCTGTAGTAATTTGTAAAACTAGTTACATGTTACTCAAGACATAAATATACCAGATTCTGATGACAGAAACCAGAAATTCCACAAAAATGTAAGTATATTTAAAGGTATGATTTGTTTTGCCAAGAGTTTTTTTAATGTTGAATTATATCTTTGTTGAGTTTAAAGGAAATGGCTTTTCTGTCTAAATTGTCAGAATGCCTCAGGCATACTATGGTCTACACCATTATCATTTTTACCTGGTTTCAAATTTGTGTTCACGGTTCTTGATTAAAGAAACAAATCTTTTGAGGTAATTGCCAAACCACCCCAGCTCTCACATGCTAACTTTAGGGAGCCAAGTGCTCTGGTTGAGTGGATGGATACTGTCAGGACCCAAAGAAATTTGAGCACAACTCAGTGAGAGCACAGCTAAAGCCTTTCCAGGTATGAGCACTGAAATTGTTTCATGTCTCAGTTATCTCTTTTATAACTATATAAACCTTCAACCACAGCATCTATTACTATGCAATTAAACATGAAAGAGAAATTAAATAAGATGTTAAAATTACTTCTGACTTAGTAAAGAAAAATCTTGTTTTCTTTAAAATTCAGATAAGCATGAGATGAGAATCTAATGAATAAAATGATGCTAAAAACATCCATATTGAATACATGAACATGTTGGCTCTCACAGATAATGGGGTTATTGAAACTCCTTGATTAGAGTGAATAAATTTAAGCAGCTGTAAAACTGTAAATTTGGGGGATTCTCATTGTATTTAGCTAGTAAAATAAACCTAATTCAAACAGAGATTCAGAGAAACTCATTAACATACTTGAAGGAAGAGAGTCATGGGTTAGGTTGATTAACCTAATTTAACCCAAGTAACAGATCTTTTGCTGTATTTGCCTGTGGCCAAAGAGACCTTGGATTGTTCCACAGTCTGTTCTATGATCTTTGAAGCTTTAAGGTACCGTCTGGAGTCGCTTTTGTTGTTTGGGGGAGGTCAAATGGGACACTTCTGTGTAGCCATCTTAGTTCACCTTTACATAGACTTTTACTAGGTTTCACGGCTGAAGTCTTGAGTCCTTGCTGGGGTACTTAACAAAGTTCCAGGAATGACACCATTACTTCCTACCTAACATCTCTTCTTTCAGGATAATGATTCGGTCAAGTATGATTTGTTTTTTTTCCCCCTGTTGAAGCTCCAAGTTTTATAGCTGTACCTGACCCCAGTGTCCTGAAACAAGGCTTCTCTAAGGACCCTTCAACCTGGTCTGTGGAGGAAGTGATACAGTTTATGAGACATACAGATCCTCAGATATCAGGCCCCCTCGCCGACCTCTTCAGGCAACATGTAATGTATCTTTTGATCCGGTTTTCCCTTCAGGCAACATGTAATGTATCTTTTGATCGGGTGTCCCTGCCATAATGCCTTTGAATGACCTCTGTGCAGGCCTTTCAGTTGGATGCTGAGTAGTATGGATGGTGGGGGAACCCTATCAACTGATTTTCCTCTGTGAGAGAGGTTATTTTCTCTACGTTAGATCCTTAAATGGTAGGTTGATGGTCTGTTTTTTTAAATGGGTATCCAAGTGCCTAAGATACCAAATGGCCTCAAGTTCTGGAGAGATGATGATTCAGCATTGCCATTCTCAGCTGTACCTCTCCTTGGTGATAAAGTGCAAGGATCCTCTCCCCTACCTACTCCCTTCTTGGCTCCAGGACCATGAGTAGGAGGGCATGACCACAATCTGTCACAGGGAGGCCTCCTTGTTAGGCCAATCAATGAATCCAGCGACTGTATAAGATTAATTATAGCTTTATTTTATGTATTTATTTAAAGAATTATTTTACTTACTTTATTTACTTATTTTTAATTTCACCAGAGATGGACAGAAAGAGAGAGAGGGAAAGTGAGAAAGCAAGCCACCAGGTCCAAGACTCAACCCACGGTCGGCCATGTGGGAGTCCAGCACCCTTAACCACCGCACCACCTGCCGGCCCCTGTAGCTTTATTTTAAATAGGAATTCGTGAATACCAAATCATATGCTTCCATGACATAAATTGGTTAATTAAACTAATGAAGTTTATAAGGATATCTTGTTACTATTAAATACTTAATGATCTAATATCTGTTGTACCAATTTTAGTACAGTATGAAAATCAGTAATTAGTTTTAGCATCTAATTTGAGACATCTGATTAACTTTCAACATAAAGACAACTCTGGGTAGCACATTTATAGTTTGCATTGATGCTGACTTATTCCCAGTTCCTCAGAAAGATAATGACCGTCTGAAATTCATTTCTACTATTCATAGTTTTTGACATTTTTTTCATACACATGTAGTACTTTATTCAACATATAGTATTTAAAATCAGGTAGTTGGATATTTAGGACATTTTTCAAAGATACATTAAACTTTCTTTTACTTAAAAAAATTGAAGTAAATTTATAAATTATCAAATGATACTTCACTATACAAATTATTTTTAAATAATTTTCAGGAAATAAAAAATTATGCAGATAATATGTATTTCAGATATACAGCGGCTCTCCTTTTGACATGTTCTTATGTATAAATGTTTTGGCAAAATAGGAAAGCATTGTTAATTATTAATATTTCCTTTTTTTCTGTAGGAAATTGATGGGAAGGCTCTCCTACTACTTAAGAGTGATGTGATTATGAAGTATATGGGTCTGAAGCTGGGGCCAGCATTAAAACTATGTTACTACATTGATAAACTTAAAGAAGGAAAATATAATTGAAAAAAATATATACACGTTAAGATTTGACATAATTCTCAGGTGTCCTGATACCATTTTAATGTAAAAGTATTTTTCTTCTAGCAGTTTTTGTTTTGTAAAAGGTTCCTATAAAATATTTATAAGAATTTATAGAACTGCATTACGGTTCAATCTACTTCTTTAAAAATTATTCGAGATATTAGTATTGACATGTTAAAATTGGCAGTCCTTTGTCTTCTTTATTATTTTCATTATACAGTTTACAAATATGCCATCAACAGTGAAAACCTTTTATTTTGGTTAATCTTTATATCTAGAACCAAAACAGCTGAATCCCAAAGGGGGAAATATCAGGGACTGACAACTTCTGTAATTAAATCTATTAAAATGTTTCCTCAGAAGAGAATTTAAAGGTACACCATTAGAATAGCATCTTTCTCAGATAGTTTGTCTGTGTGATAAGTATACAGTGATCTCTTCATGTTCTGCCAGTTTCCAGAAAGGAGATAGCCATATAAATTATTTTCCTTTCTGTTCTTATTTGTCTGTTATATTCGGGTTTAGAACATGGATTCTCTGAACACACCAGGACACACCTCAGCTTTAAAATGGCTTCTTGTCTGAATATTTTGGGAGTCTGATATTTATACCACAAAGGTGGTTTGAATGGAGTCTAATTAGGTTGTTTTCAACTAAATACCTATTTAAAATTTTTCCAAATTGTTACTAAGCTCAGACATTTAACTAGGCCTTTCACATCTCTATATGAAGATACATTTTTCTAAGTTTTAAAGAAATATATATTTTATTGTATGTTTTTATTCCCCATGTGTTACTTTACCATATTTATATATTATTCTATATCTGTAGGAATACATACAAATAAATCTTTTCTTTTAAAAAACAAAATGGCACTTTGCACTGCCACCGAGGTATGTAGTTAGATGTTTTTGTTCCATTAAAAAAAAGTGCATTGTTTGCTATCACCAGTACCTCTCAGCTTACTCTTCAGGGGATAAGAAACAATCTGTAGATTGATTTTCATACAGGGAAGTTCTCTATCCTATGCAATGTTTCTAATTAATTTGCTTAGTTCTGAGCCATTTATTCTGCTACATCTTGAAAGATACATTAGTTCTGACTTACTGTTTAGGCTTTATGAATTAGAACTTCCAAGGGGAAATGGTGCTATATGTTTATTGCTATTTGTATAACTTTGGTGTAATGTTTATAAGCTATGAGAATCTGTTATAAAAGTATTAGCCATTTGTCGTAAATGCCAATAAAATGTTCACCAGGGCAAGAATGTACATTTTCTTTTTAGACAACCAAATGTACTTTACATATGGATGCAACTATTTAAAAGATGGTGTCATATGTTTTTCCATATGTAAGAGGAGATTCTAACTTAAACCTGGTCTTCTTTCATATTGTTTGTAAGAAGATGCTGTGCCCAGTTGAACAGTCCTCAGGTGTTTGTATAAATACTACGTTTTGAAGTTTTCAGATTTTTAAAATATAATAAAGTTAAATAACTGCAACAATTAATGTCAAAGCCTCAGATTTTATTTTACTTAACCATCACCACATTACATTAATATATTTATGGGGACAGCAGATAGCATGGTGGTTAAGGTGCTGGACTCCCACATGGCCGACTGTGGTTCAAGTTCTAGACCTGGCACCTTGCTTTCTCACTTTCCCTTTCTCTCTCTCTTTCTCTCTGCTCAAATTAATATAATAACAAATAAAAAATAAATAAAAAATATTAAAATATAATTGTATTTGTTAGAGTTGAAAAAGAACCACTCTGATACCAAAGTTCATGGCTTTGTCTAAAGGCACTTCAGAGTGTTTGTGGAAAAGTAGAATTAAAATAACTGTATTTTGATAGAAAAAAAAATTGAAATCCATGCTTTTTTTTTAAGAGGTTTTTGCTATAGTGTGCGTGCGCTCGCCAGAAAGAGACAGTGAGAAATCACCCCCCAGGGGGATGGCCATGCTGCTATCCCTTGTCATCCATTCTTCGGGATCTGGGGCACGCATGCATGCACACATGCCCGGCATGAGTTTAAGCCACAGGGTCCGGGACTCAAACTGTGGTTGACTACATGGGAGTCCAGCGACATAGCAATCTACTGGTCCCGAAATCCATGCATCTTTCATAATACTTTCCTGTGAACTTTTTGAAGATCTCTTGTATGTCCAAATGGTTGAGGGTATTTTTTTAAATTAATTTTTCTTTATGGTAGAGTGTATGCATGCGCTCATGTGAGAGAGTGCAAGAGGTGGATAGCACCTTCTAGAGGATCTGATCACACTGTGATCCCAGATAGATCCAGCTCGTTAGATCTTGGGCACTCCTATATTACTTGCATAGTATGTTTCGGGCCAACCTCTCTGGGCATTTGAACTGCAACTGCCACAGGGCTTCCAGCACTATACTCCAACATACTGCCTGTACCACCACAACCGGGTCTAAATACTGTCATGATCCTACTAGTAAACTGACCCCTCAGAGCAAAGGGCCTTAAAGGAGACCTCAGGGGGCCCATAAGAATTAAATCATTGTGGGCCAGTAGGTGGCATAGTAGTTAAGGTGCTGGATCCCACATGGCCAACTCCACTGTTAGAGTCCTGGACCTGGTGGCCTAAAAAACATGTTGGGGCATGTGTGTGCATACCCAAAATCCTGACAGGAGAATGGAGAAAGGATTGTGGTATTATTTCTCATTTTCCCTGTCACTCCTTTCAGTGGGTTTATGCACCCTACGGCAAAAAAAATCTTTAAAATGATTAAATGAGTGAGCTTTATTCATGCTCAAATTCTTCATTACTTGCAATGTTACCTGCTTATGTGACCAGGCTAGAAGATGCCAATGTTCCCCAGACACTTCATCCCAAGCTGTACGTCTGGCTGGCTATTTTGCCAGCTCTTTTAACAGTAGGGAGCCAGAAGCCACTTCCCTGATACACCTGCTAGTGCCCCTCTGTCTTCAGATGAGTACTAAATTTTTAGTCCAGAGACTATCACACTATATTACCCTTCGTGTGAATTTTCCAGGCTTTTAAAATAGTCTTTCCTTTAGCTTTGCCTCTCAGTCCATCCTTTGACCCTCTGTAGCCAGCAGAATTCCACACCTAGGGCTCCAAGACCTTTAGAGAGTAAATGCCATGACTAGACTAGAAACAGTGCCCTGGGGGGCAGGGAAGCCCTGCTCTTTTTAGCTTCAGAAGGGACTGTCCTGACCTCAGGGTTGACTGAGTACATGTGGTGGGTGGAAATTTTGGAGCCTCTTTCTCCATCCTGATGCTGGAACCTACTTACAAAGTCCTTAGAGGCTGATAAGGCAATGAGGGAGGGCTCTAGAGTAGAGAGGCCCACCTTTGGAATGTGGTGGACTGTTTTCCTTCTACTTTTCTGGTTTGAGAATTTCCCTAAATTAATGATGACCATTTAGATACCTTCTTCAAGGTTTGTTTTTGTTTTTTAATACTAGCAGTTAAGATCCTTAGCACTGAGAAACACCTGTTCTTCCTGGTATGTTTTTAAAAAGTAAACACTTCATACCCTTCAGGCTGGCTAACATAAAAGGAAGTAAGTGCTAGCTGGTGGAACATGAAATGGTGCGGCTGCTATGGAAAACAGAACTACCACATGACGTGTCAGTTACACCTCTGCATATAAGCCCAAGTGAATTGGAAGTGGTGGGCCTGAGGTTGGGGGTGCAGAACTGTGGACACAGGGGCAGCTCTCCAATGAATGCTCTGTATGGCCAGTCCACATGAGAAGGTTCTGAGTGTATGTCCAGAGACCTCCCTGAGTGCACTGAGCCTGTGGGTCCTGTAATCCAGGATTTGTCAGGCTGGGTCTGGATCTCAGCACCGAGACCCTGATGGCGGTGCTGTCTTCTCATGTCTCTCACTCATGAAAGAAAGAAACTTTAACAAAAAATTGAAAGCTAGGACTCAAATACATGCCTGTATGCCTGTTCCCTGCAGCATTCATAACAGTCAAAATGTAGAAACATCAAATGTCCATCAAACAAATAGATAAAATGTGGTATGTATGTACAGTGAAATGTTATTCAGCCTTAAAAGAGAAAGAAAAATTCTGATACATGCTATAAGAATGAAGTTAACTGACCAAACACAAAAAGACAATGTGTGTGAATCCTTTTAAAATTTTGCCAGAGGTAAAGAGAAAGGAAGAAAACACTCACCCATGGGGGATAATCACGCTGCAACTCCTTCATCTCTTTCTCTTGGGATTTTAGACACGCACACACTCATGTCAGCATGATTCTCAAGCGGCCAGGCCTAGGACTTGAACCACGTGGTTGCCCATGTTGGATCCAGCTGCCTTAACCTTTAAGCCATGAGCTGCTCCCTGTGTGAATCTTACATGAGTTATCTAGAAATGCCAAATTCATAAAGAAGGGAAGTAAATAAAGGTTACCAGAAACACTGAGAGAAGGGAATGGGACGTTAATGTTTAAAGGATACAGGGTTTATTTGGGGAAAGTTAAGGAAATGGATAGTGGATAATGGTAATGCTTGCACAGCATTTTAAATATA